CAGGAATGGTGCCTGAGCTCTACCTGGGTAAACTACACCAGATCTGCCCTTCTCTAAACTAACAGCAGATATGACATGGTTCATTGGAAGATCTCACTTTATACTGATGGAAATCTCCCTTGTAAAGGCCATGTTTAAAGGTAAACTGATCTCCAGAGAAATATGAACAGGTTTGGCTAGCCTGGGTTTTGTCATGTAGGGTTTTTGTCCCTTTCTTCCTGAAACATTATTGTCTGTATCTTTGCCCCCAAACATGACACAGAGAATTGAATCCATTAAAATCCTGTGAAATACTTTACAATCTGGATTTTATTCAATGACATAAACACTTAATTACAAACATCTGTTTTAGCCTAAATTCTAATTACCTAATCTAGCCATCTGTAATTTGAATGATTTTCTCTGATTTCCTTTCTTTGCAGTGTGATTAATGAGAATAGCATTAGAGCAAGCAGCTCCCTCCTCCTTCCTCAGATGCTTTCTCAGCTCTAGCAAGAAAGCCCTGGGATTTTGCAGCTTACAGGAAACCTCCCTCCTGTCACTTCCAGCTGTTGAGCTTCCTTTTTTCCCTTTAATATGAGCTATCCCACAAGATATCTGCTTCCCAGGACTAAAAGGGAAAGTTCTTACACAGAGATGTGGCCTGCCAGATTTCCAACAGCAGAGACAGTGCATGGGAAAATGCTGCTGGATTTCCCTTGCAGCACAGGAGAGGAAAAACATATTCCCTTGCCTGGGAATATTTCACTTCACCTCTGACTTGCATGTTCACCACCCAGGGCAAGGCCTCTTTCTCATTACCTGGGACATGGCATATTAGTGATGGAGCTTTGCTACAAACATGAAGTGAACCTTCACATAATCAGAAAGACATCACCTTTTGGCTAAGGCTCTACACTACGGTTTAGGAGAACTGAGCCCATTGTACTGTAGATTGCTTGGCTCTGAGATAATGGGAAAAGTCACTTCCATGCCTCAATACCCCATTTATACAGCAAGGATTACAGTCCCTCCCAAGCAACTGAGCACAAGTAGCACAAAGGGAGCTACCCAGCACAGCCAAAAGCAGCCACATCGCAGTGCTTGGGAAGCCACCACAGCCCCCAGGCAGGTCCCCTGCTGACAGCAGAGCTGGAAGTGTTTAGATCAGGGCAATGCAGCGTGGCCAAGCCCCCTGCCTCCAGACATGTCCTCCCTGGCCCAGGAGGAAGCCTGTTCTATGGCTGATTACGCTTTATGAATGACTGAAAGGAGCATCCAGCTGACTTAATACTACACTGACGGGTGATTTAGGCTCAGACTCACAAACCAGACAGCTCCATTCAGCTCTGGACTCCTTCACTCTTAAAGAAAAGTGCTGCAATGGGGCATACTCCTGCATCCTTCCACCTAATTTTGCTGGTTGTTCAAGACAACACAGGGTAAGTAGGCGCAATGAGATCAGTTATTCCCCCATCCCTCCAGTTCCTACTGTCTTCTGTTTGTACTAATAGAAGGAAATTTATTTTTAATGATTCCAAACAGTCCCTGCAACTGTCATCCAAATAGGAAGCTTCCTGATAGCAACCCGATAGAGATTTAGCAGGGCAGACAGCAAGCTCACTGCAGTCATGTCTGCACAGCAGGGCTGGGAGCAGGGAAAGCAGGATGGTCCCAGGCACATATTAACTGTGATCTGAGCTCCGTGGCAAGGCAGCAGTATGTGGACACAAAGGGCAAAAAGCTCCTTATTTTGCCTGTTTAATATCACTGTGGTGATAAGGAGGTTTTCAGCAGCACACAGCTCCCTCAGCTTGTTAAGGGCACTATGAAGTCATTAAAAGCAATGCAAATGGTTCCACTGATGGCATTTTCTCCCTCTGTCGTCCCCCAGCTCCAGCCATGACCCCCTGCATCCCAGAGTTGGCAAATCTGCTTTGCAAACCTTCCCCGTTAGAAAGAATTCCTAGGGAAGATCTCAGTGCTGATCTGCACGCTCATCAGGGGGATGTTAAAGCATGCAACTTAACACAACCCCTTAGTGTCTGCTTATCCTATTTGCATCCAGACTCCCTCTTCCACAAACTGTTTTCCTAGAGATGAAATACACAGGGACCAATTTCACAAGGGAACCACTGAAAGAGGGCTGCATCATCCCCTGCGCTCACATTTAAATATAATTCAAACTAAGAAGAGGCTTTAATTTAAAGCTGAACAGCCACTCAAGTGCAGACAAGCCCTCTAAAGCTGTACACCCACATGTCTCCCCAGGGTCCCTTTGGGTGGCTGCAGACTTTCAGGATCACTTTAGTATTCTCCAGATAAGGATGAAATCCTTGAAATCCTCTTCTACCTGCTTAACTAAGCTGTTCTGTCCAGTTATTCCTTCCCGGTCCTGGCCCAACATCTCCCCAAGACTAATAACCACAAAAGCCAATCCAAGGTACAGCAGTATGACAGCAGCCTGGTGATGCGCCTGAGCTCTTTAGCACAGCGTTTACCTGGACTGAATAATTAGTTGATACCATATATTTAAGACCAGAGTTTCTGCCTCTGCATGGTCTTTACACTGCATTGTCTGCTCTGAACCAGCCTGCAGCTCTTTGCACAAGGTTTTCCTGATGGTCTACAGCAACTTCCAGCTCAGGGAGGCTGTGGGCAATGGGAGTGCACTTTACTTACTGCTGGTCCAGTAAAAGGAGCGTGATCGCAGTTCTCCTGCCAGGACTGGTTGAGGCTCTGGACAAACTCTTGGAAGAAAGCATGAGACTGGTTGAAAATGGAAAATCCCAGGATGTTGACTCGGTCGTCAAGCAGGTTGTCCAGGCGCTGGAGGGAAAACTCCTAAAAGCACCCCAAACAGAAAACGGGATTAGGGAAGGAAACAGGCACCAAAAGCTTCAAAACCCCTGAGTACCATGATTCCTGCTAACCACTCCTGAGTGTGGGGCTATTCTTTATTAACCACCTCTTCTGACAAGAGGTTCCCTCTAACACAGAGGTTACAGCAGAGGTAGGGAAGCGGATGATATTTTGCAGATGAAGCCAGTAACCTGATATATCTGGCCAGAGGTGATCAGCTCTATTGTGGGAGACCCAGACCACAAAGCTCCTTAGTAGATTTATACTTCCCAAGCAACACTTTCTCCAAGGCACTCCCAGGAAATAATCCCTGCTGTGTTCACCATGAAAACACTGCTGTGCCCGAGTATTGCTACGGGTGAGAACCACAGACAGTGTGAGGACACAAGCAATGGTTGTCCACCCGAGCCTGGGGCAGGTGGGATCCCCAGGCCACCAAGACTGTGGAGACCCGTGTCTGGAGAGAAACTAATGTCCTTTACTATTATTTATCTCCACCAAGAGAACAATGAAATGAACCCCAGCCTGGGCAGTAAACATTAGTGAAGCAGTGAGCTCTACCACCACCATGTCCAATTCAGTGACACCAAGTTTAAACTGCTAAATTAAATCCTCCCCACAGGGCAATTGTGCAGTGCTCCTTTCTGCCATCAACTACAAGGAGGAGATGCCATTCACAGGACACCCCAATGCCCTGTGGAAAGTTGCTTTGACTGTGAGCTCTGGAGTGCAGCCCATTCTCTTGCATTTCTCAAGAGCAAAGTGGTAAGATGTATAAAAAAGACCAAAAAAATCCCCAAACAAGCTCTATTTTGCTACTTACATCAATAGAAGCAGTTACACAACAAAGCCAGTTTCCTGGAGAAAAGTCCAGCCCTTCTTGTGCTATTAGCAGGAAATAATGGTGCCTTTGTTACTAATTTCTCTTTTGCTAATTGCTAAAATGGAGTGAGAAGGTGGGAGTAATAGTTTCAGAAACTGCTGGATACCCATTCACTTCCATCACTATTACGAATGTCTTGGCTTTGTGGACTATGAGATTTCAGCAAGTCAAGTCATTATTTATCTTTCCTGCGTACGGATGCATGTAGGAACAATGCCTGTAAATCTCTGAAACATGGACTTACAAGACTATTCCAGCACGGCAATGTCCCATGAGAATGTGATCAGACACAGGATTAAGTGCATTTTGGACACAACCGCATCAACGTTAGGTAACATGAAATTGCCTGTGAACTATTGATTCATTTGAATGATATTATCCTCCTGCCTTCCTGACAGGTTATCCATTCACCCACAGCATCCTGTCAACATGCACAACGAGGGCAGATGGCTAATGAGAACCTGGGCCTGAGGAGATCCTGGATGCAAGCAAAGAAGCAGGAGATGTGTTGAGCCACTGCAAAATACCACTTCCCCCCAAGCCAGAGCTGGGAGGCAGATTGTGTGTGGGACAATGCGAGCAGCTGCCCGACTGCCCTCTTGGCTTCATTAGATGCAGAAGGAAATGAGATGTTGTGTATCAAAACACACAGTCCAAGGCTTCCATCTCAGGCCAGACCACCCCAATCTCAAGGCAGCTAAAATCAATGCCTTTATTTATTAGTGCCTTTTCTCCCCTGAAAACATTCCTAAGCGTTTGAGGTTGCTCAGGTGCTGGCAGGTTTGTTACACTCTGCTCCTTATATTGGCAATTCCTGGGTGAGGGAATGAGCCCCACTTCACATAGGGGAAACTGAGGCAGAGGTGCGCTTTGCCCCAGTCACACAGCGTTGACAAAGCTGGATCCACAGGTCCACTCTGCTCAGGCTGGCTGGGTCAGCCCCAGGGCCTGGCTTGGGTCATTGCACAGTATTCCAGAGGGACTCCCACCCGTATCAGTCTGATTTCCCTGGGGATATTCCTGTGCCCTGCCGAGGATGGAGGCAGCCACCAGGGCTTGCCTGACAAAACAACAACAGGCAGATCCAGAGTCAACAATTTCCTCTAGTTGAAGTGCTAAGCACAGCTTTTTCCCAGCTCCCATTAGCTCCCATTGCTGGCCCTTGCAAGTTTTGGTCTTTTTCTACACACAACACTCTCCATATCTTTTTCTAGGCAAGTCTCCAGCTGCGGAAAACCCCATTTCTGTTGCCATTATGCTCATAAAGCATTCACCTCTAACACAGGGGGATCGCATGGCCAGCACACAACCCTTTCCCTGCACTACTCCCTATCCATTCCCTCTGCCCTGGCTCCAGCCCTCTGCCTTTAAATGCTTTTCCATCAGACATGCACAAGAACATTCTGCTGACCCAGGTCAGAAACAAGGAAATGAGCCATGAGCTGCCCATGCAGTGAAACAGAGATAAACCATCCTAGGGGGACACACTTCATTTGCAGTGGAATATGAGAGATTTGGTAAGGTCAGGCTTGCTATGTGGGGCAAAGGAGTAAGAGCATCCAGATTCTCCAGTAGCTGCCGGCTCAGCTTCTGTCCCTATTTGTTTTTCCCTTTCTTACACAGTCATTCACTACACCTGACATTTCCAAACCCACATTTTGCAAACATAAACTCATTTCCCATTCCAGGCTTGCACCACCCAGCTGACTTCCAGAGCTTGATGCCCCATCAATCAGCCCTGGCCCTACCTCCCACCCTGCCCTCCCAATGGGCAAGTGATGGCTGAGCTTCTGATGCTGCCTCACAAGAAGTGAGCACAGTTGGGAAAAGGGGTGGAAAACCCTGCTCCTGCAGATGATCCCAGATGGCTCCTCTGACCATGTATTTATGTGCAAGTGTTAAAGCATTCACCTCTTCAAAGATCAGACTGAAGTAGAGAAACACTGTTCAGATTTGAGAAGACACATGAATGGGTCCGTAGCAGGTACACAGGGATAGTTAGACCCGAGGATTTCTGGGGTTGTGAGACTGAAGCTGACTTTTCCCTAAGCTAGGTACAACTGTGACATACATACCTGACCTTGCCTTGCCTGCTAAACAAAGCTGGTGGGCCTACTGCTTACACAGAGGAGTTTCACAACTGCCTTTCCTCTCTTTTTCTCAGCTCGTGTAGTTACTCTTCCTTATCTGCAGTTCTGGCTGATGCTTTTGCAGGCTGGAAGACAGCTTTCCAATGCAATACAAACAAGGGGCCATTAGGAAAATAACTCACACCTATCAGCAGGTTCTTTTTAGAGGGGGACTCCAAGCCCTGGTGCACCTTGTTACAGCCTCCACTGCCTGCACAAATACCTGGTGAACTCAAGGTGTGAATCACAGAGACTGATGCAAACAGCTTCTCCCTCATCACCTCCTATTCCACTGCCAAAACCTTTACACTGGAACAATTACAATGACTGACCAGCACTTTGCCGGCCATCTCAGACCAGCTCCTTTATGCCAACCAGTCCAACCTGAGGCACAGAGAAGACCATCAAACATCACACACCAAGGTGAATTCCAGATACACAAATCCTGGCTGTCTGAATTCTTACCCCTCTTTTCAGTCTATTGTTTCAAAGCACCCACCAAAAGTCAACATTCTGTGTGAGGAGATCTCAGGGAAAGCAGGCCCAGAGGGTCTGCAGCCAAAATTTATCAACTTTTAGAGAAGAAAAATCCCCAGGCTTTGCTCAAATCACAGCAAATTCTGCAGCAGCACCAGGCAATTACAGTGTAGATTTTCTGACTTCTATACAGGGCTGCAACCACTAAATACGTGCTGTTAAATAACAACACTTAGCAATTCTATAGTAGTCTATATTTTCCAAGTGCTAGGCACACATTAGCTAATTGAATGCAAAGGGGTTCCCTGGGAGACAGCACTGGAGGAGCTATTAGAGGATGAAATCACTCTTGGGTTTCTGTGCTTCATGCAGCACTCGACCTGCACTCTCACTTTATAGCAGCAGAAAAAACCTATGGAGTGACCTGAACATTTAGATCATTGGGAGAACCTGGCTAATAAAAGCCACACAACCAAGCCCTGTAACTCATGACTTTAAAGCCATGCGCTTGGATTTTCTGGCATCGCTAGCTGCGAGTTATGGATCAGGAGATTTACAGGCTATACTCTCTGTTCCATTAGGAACATAAACCCATAAGGTACAAGCATATTACTCTCTTGACTTGCACATTTGGATCACAGGCCAGCTGATCCCAACTGGGACTTGGCACCCACAAGCCCTTTCCAACCTCAGCCCCCACTGGCGATGGGGCTCCTGCAATGTGCTGCTGGGTTTCTGATGGAGATCCCCTCCTGCCCTGTTTCACTCTCTGGAACACAACAGCAGCAATACACTGCTCCTCACAGTCACAGCACAGTGCGTGTCAGCGTACAAAATCAGCATCAGAGGGTGCTGCCTTGCCTCATGGGGAGTCCTGCCAGGAAATTACTATGCCCTAAAAACAGAGGAGAAAACTGAGGTGTAAAGCAAAAACCAGCAAGCAATTAAAAACCTGACAGCACAATTCAGCCTAGAAGAGACGTGGGTTAACAACGTGCCTTACAAGGCAAAGCATCAAAGTCAGCATTCACACCTAAGCGTATCATTAAGGAAGTATCCTCCCAAATGTGCACCTAAGTGATCCATGCCCAGATTAAAGTAGACCCCACAAATAATGGCCAGTGTCTTCCCTCACTACTGCTACCCATCACACCCTCCCTCCCAAATCTGCAAAGAGGTTGGAGACTTCTGCATGGAAAGGGGGAGCCAGGCAGGGATCATTTCAGGGATTATAGTAATAGGACAAGGGGTGATGGGTTTAAACCAAAACAGGAGAAGCTCAGGCTAAATTTAAGGAAGAAGTTCTTCACTGTGAGGGTGCTGAGGCACTGTAATGGGTTGCCCAAATAAGTGGTAAATGCCCCATCTCTTGCAGTGTTCAAGGCCAAGCTGGGCAGAGCCTTCGGTGGCATGGTCTAGTTTCTAGTGGCAGGGGGTTGGAACTCGATGATTTTTTGGTCCTTTCCAAGCCCAATTTTTTTCTCCTTCCAAAA